CGTCAACCATTGACTTTGCATGTAAACTCGCTGCTTCTGTCGCGCCAGCTGCCCCCGGTGTGAACGCAGCATAACACCTTCTCTGAAGATCTGCTCTGAGCGGACAAACATGTTTGCACCTGTTTGAAGACATGCTAACCTTCAGGCCCAATGTGTTTGGGAAAGATTCAAAGGAAAACTTCTCCTTTCTTTCTGTTGGGGATTCCACAATCCTCTGGACTGACATCCTTTATCAGAGAATCTTCTAATCTTCTGCTCCAATATGAGTTGCTGATCGTCTCCTCCTATTGGTCTAGAGCACTTCTGTTATGGGAGCCATTTTGGAACTTGTGCTAACTTGCTCTTGTATTTGCTACCTCTCCTTCCATGTTTTTCTTTGTGTTACCATCATTTTTGTATTTGTTCCTTTCTTCGTCCATTCCTCTGCATATATTTTAAGTCTGTTTGGTGGTTGCCATCAACCAGATGACTGGGAATTTTCACACCCATGATGGTCTTAAGCTGGGCATACATTGTATCAGTTTTTGCCCTTTTCAGGCCAGTTTTTCAGTAATGAGATCATTTTTGGATGGGGCCAAGTTTCAGCCTCATTGTGAAGTATACAGGGGGTAACCAGGGGGGATTAGCCGCTGACGACATACTCCCAATCAGGAATCGTAAGGTTGGGAGAAAATCAAAAATATTTTAAATTCAGTCAACCGTCGTGAGGTGATGGTGAGTAAATCCTGTACAAATTGATTTATCAGAACCTCAGGCACTGCGCATGTGCAAACATGGGAGTTCTCCTTCTTCCAGATTGATGAGTTTGACCAGCGCCATCTCTTGGCACTCTGTCTGACGTGTGGTTTTTGGACATACAGTGTGAGCAGTTAGATCGCATCAGAGTGTCGGCCATACACACATCTGTTGCAAAGTCTTTGTTTAATGTCAGTTCGTCCTTCTTACAGACGATAAATAAGTTAAATCCATCTCCCATCAAACACAGACTGGTTGGAGAACCCATCAGGGTTTGCTCTTGTTCTTAGAGCCCCGTCACAGCTTTTGGATGTATCCAGCATCTGCCTGACGTCCCAGAATCTCCTAAAATGCTGGCATATGCTGAACTTTTTATGTATTTTTTAATTTTGGGCGAATACATAGAGTATTCATAATGAGTCCAGAACTTATGTCTAATGACAAATGAACTTATGCATAACGTACGGTAGCGTAATGGCCTTGAAATGATGCACAAGCATCATTTCAAGGCCATTATGCAGCATCAGTTAACGCTGCCCCCCTCAGGCGCAGCGATGATACCGCTCACCACAAAAAAAGGAATCATACTCACCTTCTGGCTCGCCCTATGATGGGCATGAAGTCTGGAGCAGTTACTCATAGGTTTAGGATAAGCTATACGCCATGACTTATGTGTACTTTACACTTCACGTATGTCAGCGATTAGATAACTTACCAGTAACTAATGACCCATGTCTGGCATACGCTGGCATACGTCTCAACATATTCGCATTACGTATGTCTATGTGTGCCAGCATGCTGATAACTTATCCAACGTATGCCAGCGTTTTTGCCGGGTTTTCCGTACGTCAGGCATACTTTGGTCTAAATCATCAAGGTGTGACAGGAGCTTTAAACAGCAACAGATTAAACGTGTCCAATTAGCGGGATGGGTGTAGATGAGACACAGGGAAACAGGATTCAGCTCAACTGTCGATACTAAATCAGCCCTAAAATACAAATTTAATTTCATTTGTATACTTCTACAATACAAACTAATTAATGCACCTATGGTCAAAAGAAAGCCAGCAATTTCTGCTCAGGACAAGGATTAAAATGTCATTCTGTTCACTTTAAAGGCAAGTGTTGGAATGTAATTACATTCAGCCCTCCTTCAGCATTTCAATTTAGCCATGACATTTTATAAGGCCTTTTTAGTTTTAATAATTTTTTTGCCACATGCATTTTTTCATTTTTAATAAAGTCAAATATGACATTTTGATTCAGGGTTCATCTTTTGGTTTTTCTTACTATTCCTTGGTCCTTGGAATGCAGCACATCACATTCAAAAGCATGACTTTAAATCAAGAGCTCAAAATTTAGAAGCTATCCTACAGTAGGATTCAATCATGGAGGCGAGAATAAAGTTTTTAAAGTCCAGAAACTTTACTTTTTACACATTAAAACCACAAGTTTTCATAGAAGTTTCTAATAGCCCCAAACAAAGTAATACTTTTGTCCATGTTCTTAAATATTTGCCTGTTTCTTCTGCACAGCCTGCTGGACTTTCACCAACATCTTCTTGCCTCTATTCCATAATGGCTGTATTTGTAGAGACCATAACTGATCATTTTTGATTACAGCTCTTCTGGCTGAGCTGGACTGTTGAGTCTTTATTCCTATGCAGTCTTAAATGTTGGACTTCGGCCTGTTTTTCAGTGTAGTCCTGTTTCTCTGACTGTGACTGGCTGGATGTATTTTCTTCATCCTCTGACATGGACATCTGCAATCAACAACA